CCTGCCCCTCATCACCTCCAGAAGAATCGCTACTTGTTGTTACAATAAATTGTAGATTGCCCTATTCCCCTAGGTGTGCTGAGACAGAAAAACTTTTGGGAACCACTGATCCCCATCAATAAAGTTTGTACTTTCTGAGCTGAGAAAGGAAAGTTTCCAGCCTGAAGATGCTAAATGAAGCTTGGAGGAAGAGTGTGTGGGACAGAGAATGCAGAAACAAATCCCAGTTAACTGGTGTGTTTTGCTAAGAACAGGGCTGGGAGAATGTGAGGAAGGGACATGGGTGCCACTGAGAGTGTCAGTGTCCAGCCTCCTGGTCCGAGAGCCAGCCTGTCCCTCTCAGCCGATATTTATTAGGGATGCAGCACCCGGGCTGTGATAGCTTGGCTCACACCTGTATTGCCAGGTGAAAACCCAGGTAAACTGAGTCCTACCCCTCCTACAAGCTCCACATCTGCCCCACCCCAGCAAGAAGCCACCGGACTGTCAGCAGTGTGCAAGGAATTAGAGTGAGCCCGCAGATGGAGTTTTTGCACCTGAGTGTAGTTTATTCACAGTGTAATTACCACTGGGGGGTGTCCCTCAGACTGCAGGGGAAAATGTGAAGATCTTGAGCGCTGGAAGGGTTGGGGTGAGAAGAAAGACACTTTGAGCCTGAAGCAAGATCTTCCTTCCTGAGCAGGGAGGACTGAATAGCAGAAAACTTATCCCAGAGTGGCGGCCTCTTGGATACCCCAAAATTGGTGGCCAGCATGTCAGCCATTGAAAGTTGGTGCCTCAATGAATTGGCCCAGCCCACTGTCCATTGGTAAGCTTGGATACTTTGTGTGAAAGGGGCCTGTAAGGCAAAATCTTGCCTACTTGCCCCCATGAAGAGGCCTTGATATATATGTATATATATATATCAAGAGAGCCAATTGTTGAATTTTCAGGAATTTTGCAAGCCAGCTGTTAAACACAGCCAATAATAAAAATTAAGTTATATACACTTAAATATAATGTAATGAAAACAAAGGTAATAAACTCTCAAAACTCATCACTTCCTAATTATTTTGCATGTAACTATTATCTCTGCTCTCCAGGTTATTCATATCTACTGTGTCTGTATGGTGGAGATATTGCATCACGGCGACCTACTGAGAATCTCTTCCCAACTCCACATTCAGTCATGTCGGTAGCATGAAATCAACCACAGTATGATTATTAAACCACAGAAATTGGCAAACACTACGAGCCACTGTCAAAAGCCCATTGTTACACACTTACCACCACTATTCATACCTCTCCCCCAACATGTATAAACACACCTACACACTCACACACAAACATCCACTCCACTGTTAAAAACACAAATGGTTGTATACTGCACCTTGCTTTTTCGACATAAATAGTAGAATAGTATTTCGTAATAAATAGTAGAACTCTTTCCCTTTCAGTGTTATCTAGATCTACTTCATTCTTTTTAATGCCTGAAGCTTTGTCTTCTGAATTGCTCCCTTTCTCTGGGTGTGAAGTGAGTTACACCCAGGGCTCTGCCCAGAGCCACACATCACTTCATGCCCCATTATTCATTAATTTCTTGACTGCCAGGCCCTGTGCTAAACTGGGGACAATAAAAAAATAAAGCCCATTCCCGGAATGGGGAGAACCTAGACCAGACGCCAACAACTAGAACACGGGGTCATCTGTTCAGTGGCTCGGAATGTCACCTTCTTCTTGACTATTCCTTTGTCAGTTCTCAGAGCTGGAAGCTGCTCTCCCTCCTAAGATCGACCACCTCACTCCCTCTCATGGCTGTTATAACTTTGAGCTTTGAATTGAACTCTTGAGTTCCACACAATTTGCCAAATACATTCTGTGGGCCTCACCGCCCACATTCACTCAGCACTGGGTTCTGGCATCCGTAATGATGGCGCCACGTGGATACTGATGTGGAGAATGGACACCACCTGGGGGAGGGCGCACCGACTGTATCCCCTCCATCATACCATAAGCTCACTGAGAGCAGGATTTAGATCAGACTTATCTTTGTACCCAACTCAGCGCCTTGCCCAAAGCAGACGTTCAGTGTGTTTCATCAGCTAATTGGCAAAGATTTGAGGCACTGGTAGGAGCTGGGCGTCTCTCTGCCCAGCTGCTTCCTTATTGGCAAGAGACCTGGTTCACATCAATTGTTGTTACTGGGCTTTGTTTTTGTTCATACCTGTATTGCCAGGTAAACCCCAAGAGAGCTGGGCAATTCCACAGGGGAAGGAGGGAGCAAGTGAGAACGTGGCCAGCTCCTTGGCCGTCCCTGTTTGGAGTTAGTTCCTTCTTATAATTCCTTCTTCCCTGCTCCCTCCAGATCAGTACCCCTCCCAACAGTCACCCACCTCATGTCCTCTTATCCCTCCCTGTCCCCTCCATCTCACCCTCTCCGATCTCCTGTTCTCCCTTCCCCCACCATGCACCTCCTGTGATGTGCACACGCGAGGCTTTCCCTGCTGGAGACAGCCATGACTTCTTTCTCTGCAGCCCCTGCCTGCCCAGGACAGACAGAGCCATCGTCCTACATAAACGTGCCCTGTGTTTCCCCTCACACCATCCACTTATTCTACAGACCCTTGTTGAGTCCTACTCTGTGCCAGGTGCCTCAAGTCCCCAACTACAGGGACCTCACAGATAACGGCAAAGAGAGACCAGGAGACACACAGTGGGAACCATCCTGGCAAGAAGCAGGCAGAGGGTGTTATGGGAGCGCAGAGCCAGGGAGCAGGTTCTACACGGTGCGAGAGCTTATCACAGGAAGTTATGGTTATTTATATACTTTCCTTCTCTCTTCTACTATCCTATAACCTCATTGAGGCCACAAACCTGATACAGTTAAGCTCTTCCGTGTATCAACTCATGCTCACAATACCTCTAGGTACTATTACTATCGCCATTTTGCAGAGGAGGTTAGGCAGCTTGCCCCAGGTCGCCTCGCTGGGACGTGGAGGATGCAGGACTGGAATGCAGCCAGCCTGCCTCCCTTGGCAGCACTGTTGACTCCTGAGCCCTGAGCCTCGCACAGCTGGGTGGGGCCAGCATTCAAACCCATGCCATAATCACCTGTGTGTTCCACTGGCTGGCTGACTTTCAATACTCCTTCCTGTGTCCTCTCTTCTGAGGAGTCTTCCATTGGTATGTGGCTTGGGTGGGTAGTAGCTGATCCCTGAAGATAAACATGGAGGGGCCTGACTCACCCTTTCCCTTCCCTGATTCATGACTTAGGCTCAGTCAACCGAGCAGCAAGGCAGTGACCCGGGACTGTTCATCACAGAGGCACAGACAACATCTGTTGCAGCACAGAAGGAGTATTTACTTTCCACCCAACTCCTCAACAGGTCTCCCTATCTTCCCTATACCTCCCCTACAATTTAGTCTCCACAGAAAAGCCAGACTGATAAAAGTATCTCAGATAATAACTTGCCACTTTTTAAAACTGTTCATTCTTTGCATTACCCAGAAAGCAAAATGCACACTCCTCCTCCCGGCTTACAGTGGCCATCCCGACTGGCCTCTCTCTGGGCTCACATACCACCAGCCTTCCCCTGGTTTACTAGGCTCCAATCGCCAGGTCTGCTTTCTTGCCACGCAGCCATCACGAAAGGCCCACCCTGACTCCGGGCCCTGCATTAACTCTTCCTTCTGGGGTGCTCTTTTACCGGGGATCATGGCAGACTCCTGCTTGATATACAAATCAGAGGTCAAGGTCACCTTCCTTCATCATCCCATGAAATTGTATGCCATCAGGTCACATTCCACCACGATATTTTAATTTACATCTCCAAATAGCACTTATAACCATCAGATATTTAGGTGATTTATGTATTTCTTAATGTGTTACGTATTGCCTGTGAAGAACTAGAAGAATGACAATATTAATAATAAACCACAACAATAACAGTAGGTGATATTTCTACAGAGCTTCTTTTTTATTTTTTAATTTTTATTTATTTACTTTTTTCCCCCAAAGCCCCAGTAGATAGTTGTATGTCATAGCTGCACATCCTTCTAGTTGCTGTATGTGGGACGTGGCCTCAGCATGGCCGGAGAAGTGGTGCGTCGGGGCGCGCCCGGGATCCGAACCCAGGCCACCAGCAGCAGAGCGCGCGCACCCAACCGCCAAACCACGGGGCCGGCCCCTCTACAGAGCTTCTGTATGTCAGGCCCGTTATGAGTTACCAGTTCTTTGCATGTTAACACAATGCTCCTTACAATAAGCCTATGAAGCAGGTATCTCTATTACAGTTTTTCATATGAAGATACTGAAGCACTGGGAGGTTAAGTAATTTGCCATTCAGCCTCCTCTAGAGTTCAAGTCCTTAATCATGGTGCTATTATTTTTTTATTGTAGTACATCTTCCACCGTAACTCATAAGCGATTGCCAAAAAAAACTGGAAGGGCCTGCCCAGCTCTTCATGCTCCCTTGGTTCTTGATTTCCCAGCCTGGTCATCCCACCACCCGTGGATTTAGTGAGATCCCAACATCCCTCCCACAAATTCCCACTTGATATAAGCCAGCCAGAATCAATTTCTGCTCTTTTCAACCAACAACCCTGGTAGATACACCCCAAGGGTTTAACTCTGGGCCTTGCACATGGCATGCGGACCACACGCTCTCAGTGTATAAATGACGTAGACGGTGCAACTCGGTAAGACTGCAAAGCCACCTACACTGATGGCCCGGGTGCACGGAAGCTGTGCCACTAACACCACACTGACGTTTCTATCTATCTTCATATCCCTTTGCTCTTTTTTTATTAGGAAATGTCTTAGACATGCAAAGTTTTATAAATCTTCATTTAAGGATTGTTTCCTCAGTTCTTTTTCCTTGGTTTATTCCTAATAATCCCTCCCAGGGACCCCTGCAACAGAGAAAGTTCCTTCCTTTTCTCTTCGGACCCGTGCCCTCTGGACAGAGTAGAGAGAGCTTTTCCTCACCTCAGGACCCAGGAGCCCTCCCGGTCTGCATTACCTCCTCTGAAAATGTTCGAATTCAGCCTGTCTCCTCGCATTCACCGCAGGGAGGTCGCTCTGGCTGTAGGCATCCTGAAAGTTATAGCCGTGCTCTTTGGTGACTTCACATTTGCACTGATTTTTCGGGAACAGCCTAAAACAAACAAGGGGACTGTGAACATGGATGGGTGGGTGAGCTGGTGGGTGAGAGGGAACCTGAGGTCTAATCCAGTGTGTTACTCACCCTGAGAATCAATCTCCTTTTCTATACCCAGCTGTCCTAGTTGGGCTGAGACCCTGGAATCCCAGCAGTGGCCCCTCAGAGACACAGGGAGGGAGGGAAGGGGGAAGAGGGAAGGGGAAGAAGGTCTCCCTCTCTTGAATTGTCCCCTGCACCAAAATTCTTTAAACTTGAGAGTCACGTGAATGTCAATGGCATCCCAGCCCCACGAGAAGAGGAGACCTGTGGGCCAGAAAGGGAGCATCTTTCCTGTAGTTTTGGTCAAACAGGCCCTCCAAAGTTTTAAGAGACTTCGTTGGGTGCTGTAGAGAACAGAGACTGTGGCCTGCAGACCAAGGACTTTCCTGATCTCGCAGGTGGGAATCACTTTAGCAACCAGCACAGGTTCAGGAAGGTAGGAAACCGTCTATAAAATGGGCTCAATAGAGCAGAGTAAACCACAGGAGAAGCAAGGGAGATGTCGGACCAAGGGAGAAGCGAGCAACACTTGATATCTCACCAGATTCCGTCGTAGGTAAAGAGGTTCCTGAGACGCTCCTCAGGTAGAAGGTTCCGCACCCGGACAGCCATGGCGGGACGTGGGAGCCCTGATGTGAGGCTACTGAACTCTGCACGGAGGGACACACTTCTGAACATAAATAAAACAATGCCAAGTCCTGAGATTAAGACTGACATCTTGAGGAACCACAGAAATCTAGAGCTGTGGGGACACAAAAGAGCAAATTCCATTAAAATCTTTTTTCTTGATTATGTAATAAATGACTTGATCGTGTCATGCATATGGAAATAGTAACTTGAGGAAAAATGTAAGTTAAACCTAGATCTTATACTATTTACCAAAATTGATTTCTGATAAATAGAAGAGTAAAGGATCAAATTGCAATAAAGAGGCTCAGAAAAGTCACAAATAAAAGAGTGGGCAAAAACATCCCAAGGGGAAAAAAAGGAGAGTAAGATTTGCAATATTAATGTCAGTTGAATTAAAGACAAAAAATACTATTAAATAGGACGGAAAGGATCACTTATAATGATCAAACGCCAGATCCACAAAACAGATGTGGTGGTCATGAACTTTATCCACTCAATAATGGCATTGAAGCACACCAAAGCAAAGAATGGCAGGATATGAAAGGAGAAGGATTAGAAATACAAAGATAGTCATAGATTCTAAGATTCTCACACCTAACGTCTAACGTTCTAATATCTGTCCTTAACAGATCAAATCTCAAAAATATATAAAGCAGTAGAGCAACTAAATGACAGAATTCATATTCTGTTAAAGAGCTCTTAGAACATTTACAAAAATTCACCATTTATTTGGACACATAGGAAACTATAATGAAGTAGAAATCGTTCAGATCATATACTCTTGACAGTGCAATCAAAACGTAACCTAATAACAAGCCCCCTCCCTCCAACCATTGAAAAATTTTAACAGACTTTCCCAAGCCACTCGTGAATCAAGGACAATATCAGAACAAGAATATAAAGGTAGTAAAGACGCTACACAGTAAAACTATGGAGCACACTAAAACTATACTAAGAGGAAAATTTGAAGATTTAAATACAAATTTCTAATCACAAGACATAAAATTAATAAATTAAGCAATCAAATAAGAAGTTGGAAGAAGGACAACGAAATAAATCTAAGAAGAGCAGAAACAAGAACTTAATAACAATGCATGTAGAAAGTGGTGAATCAGAAAAAAAACGAAAACAGAATAATTACTAAATCTGAGCACTAACTGAACAGACAAGTTTTGGGATATCTGCTTGGTTTATAATCTCCCTTCTCTAAGACTTTTCTCCAGACCCACAGAAGTGATACCTACTAGCCTACATGATACCCCCCTGGCCACGGCTGACTGGACCAAGGGTGAACACCTCGTCTGAGCTGGGCCAGTCAACCAGAATTTTTTTCCCAGGAACTAGGGAATCAGAGATGTCAATCAGCTTATCAGAGATATCAATCAGCTTAAGAGAGGAGAGAATAGAAGAAGGTGAGAGACACAAAGAGAAGCCTACATATTGAATATCTAGATGAAAGAGATGACTTTCCAGAAAAACATAAATGACCTAAAGAGTCTTGTAAAAGTGAAAACAACTGAAGAAGTTGTCAAAGGCCTAAGTACTCCCCCTTTCAACAAAGTCCCAAATCCATGTTTCACAAGTAAACAGCTCCAGCTTGGTTTATAAAAACAGGTTTACAGTGATGCAAATATAAGTACTTATGAATAAAGATGTAAATATGCTAAATAAATATTAGCAAATAGAATACAATGGTGTGTTAAATGAACAATTCACCGTTAACAAATGGAGTTCTTTCTAGAAGTGCAAGGATGATTCAATATTATGCAATTTATTAATAAATTTCACCAAGTGAAAATTCAAGTCAGGAGAAAAACCAATATGATTATATTGACGGATGGTTTAAAAAGCATTTAATAAAATCTAACATCTATTCTTAATTTGTTAAACATCCCTCATTGAAGAAAGGACCTAGAAGAAATGACGCCACACTAATAATTATGAGCACGCCTGACACCTGGATCTTGGTTGCCAAACATTATTGCCCTCTAAAGGAAACCAGAGCTCCCTGGAGAAATGGCTGATTCTGAGTTTGGAGTAAAGAAAATTCAAAGTGAATCTGGGACATCCTGCGGCGCCAGAAAGGAAGGGAGGTATCTAAGAGGACCACAGTCATGACCAAAGAAAGAGGAGTCAGCTTAAAGGGTCTTCTACCAGCCATATTTGGGACAACTGAGGTATCAACGAGAACCATGGCTATAATTAATTATCACACACTGAATAAAAGAAGATCCATGAACCTAATGATACTCCAAAGGAAAAAAATGCAAGGGATGGGGGCCAAAACTTAAAAAAAAACAAAACAGGGGGTCGGCCCACGGCTTAGCGGTTAAGTGCACACGCTCTGCTGCTGGCGGCCCGGGGTTCGGATCCCGGGCGCGCACCGAGGCACCGCTTGCCCGGCCATGCTGAGGCGGCGTCCCACATACAGCAACTAGAAGGATGTGCAACTATGACATACAACTATCTACCAGGGCTTTGGGGAGAAAAAAGGAGGATTGGCAATAGATGTTAGCTCAGGGCCAGTCTTCCGCAGCAAAAAAGAGGAGGATTGGCACGGATGTTAGCTCAGGGCTGATCCTCCTCACAAAACAAAACAAAACAAAACACTTTTTTTGTTGTTTTGTTTTGTTTTTTGTTGTTGCTTTTTTTTCCCCCCCAAAGCCCCAGTAGATAGTTGTATGTCATAGTTTCACATCCTTCTAGTTGCTGTATGTGGGACGCGGCCTCAGCATGGCCGGAGAAGTGGTGCGTCGGGGCGCGCCCGGGATCGGAACCCGGGCCACCAGCAGCAGAGCGCGTGCACTTAACCGCTAAGCCACGAGGCCGGCCCACAAAACACTTTTTAATTGTAGAAAAATTCCAAGCAGACACAAAACATAAAGAGGATAGTAAAATGAAGCTCCATGTACCCATTACCCACCTTCTACTCATGGACAAAATGGACTTATCTATTTATTCACCTATTTCCCTCACTTCCCAAATCATTTGGAAGCAAATCTTGACATCATATCATTTCATCAGTAAATAGTCTAGTACATATCTCTGAAGGGTAATGAGGTAGTTTTGTGCTCAACTCAACTGAGCTGGAACCAGTTTCCTGGAATTCCTTTCCTGGTGTAATGCCAGGTTAAGGAAGGCTGCAAGAGAAATTTGCATCAGATTTGGGAGGCAGCAGCCTTTATGCTCTGAAGGTCATCCTTCACTAGTGTAGTGAAGGGCAGCTGAGGTACCGGCAAGTTCCATCCACTTGGTCCTCTTTCCCCTATTCTGGGTCTGGCCCTTCTTCCCAACGACTGACCCTGCTGACCAACAACCCCAGGTTCACTACCAGAACTTTCTCTGTGAACTCACAGTAGTGGTCGCCACGAAGCAGTAACAACCTTTCATACTCTTCTCCACCAACTTGCTTTGTGGTTGTCCTCCAGAAAACGGGCGTTTGTGGATTCTTGCCAGTTTCAACTTATTCACCTGTGCCAAGGCTCTGAGCGACTTTTCTCTGATCCTTTTTGGACCTTGACCTCCCCAACTCGTCCCACAATTGTGTTAATTCCTACAATAAATTTCTCATTCTATAATACTCGTAGTGGTTCTGCTTCCTTGATTGCGGCTTGACTCATACAGACAGATAAGGCTTCTTACACACACACATGATCCCATTATCACAGCTAAAAAATTAACAATCATTCTTTAATACCATCAAATATCCACAGCGTTTAAATTTCCCCATTGTCTTTTTTTTAAGGACCAAAGCAGGATCCAAATAAGGTCTATATATTGGTTGACTTGTCCCCTAAGTTCCTTTTAACATATAGATTCCCCTGCATCTCTCTTTTATTTTCTCTTGCAACTTATTTGTTGAAGGAACCGAGTTGTTTATCCTATACAGTTTGGATTTCTCACATCTGGACTGTGTGGTTTCAGCCCCCTGGCATCACGTTCCTTTGTCCCCTGTTCTAGAAATTTGTAGTTAGATCAAGAGGCTTAATCAGATTCAGGTTTGATTTTCTGAGAAAACTACTTCACAGGTGATGGTGTGTGTCCTTCCATCAGGGAGGCGGGGCACAGAAGAGCTCATCACCTTTCTTTTTTGGGGATATTAGCAGCTATTTGTTGATGACTGCTCGAATCAGTGGTTCTCAGTCTTTTTGGTCTTAGGATCCCTTTATAATCTGAAAAATTATTGAGGACCCCAAAGAGCTTTTGTTTGTACCTATCAGTGTTTACCATTTTCGAAATTAAATTTGAGAATTTAAGTATTTATTTATTCATTTAAAAGTAAAATAATAAACCCATTACATGTTAACATAAATAACAGATTTTTATGAAAAATAGCTCTGTTTTTCAAAACAAAAAATAGTGAGAAGGGTAGCATCATTTTACCTTTTTGCATATCTCTTTAATATCTAGCTTAATAGAAGACAAATAAATTCTCATATTTGTTTCCGCATTCAATCTGTTATGATATGTTGTTTTATTGAAGTATATGAAGAAAATATGGTCTCACACAGCTATGTAGTTGGAAAAGGGAGAAATATTTTAATTGCCTTTTCAGATAATTGTGGATATTCATCTCCGATACTACACCAAAAATCAAGAAGTGGTAGTTTCTTAAAAGGCTGGTCATGATGTAGAATCTGAAACCATATCAATGAATTTTTCAAATTTTTTTACATTAAAATCCACTGATAGGGCCGGCCCGTGGCTTAGCGGTTAAGTGCGCGCACTGCGCTACTGGCGGCCCGGCTTCAGAACCCCGGGGGCACACCAACGCACCGCTTCTCCGGCCGTGCTGAGGCCGCGTCCCACATACAACAACTAGAAGGATGTGCAGCTATGACATACAACTATCTACTGGGGCTTTGGGGGAAAAATAAATAAATAAAATTATAAAAAAAAATAAAAAATAAAAAAAATCCACTGATATGTCTTGCACTTTGAATGGATCTTTTACCCATGCATGATTTTATAACATCATGCAGTGGTCATGTGAAAAATATTGGTTCACTGAGTTATGCTGATCTTACAAATGTCGATGCATTTCATAATGCAATATCAATAATTCACATTCATTAATATCAACACCAATCTCATCAGAAAAGTCTCTA